AAGATGTCTTGTACATTCCCCAGAGTCATAATCTGTGATTTAGAGACCCATTTTGTTTCTAAGTATGCTCAAACCAAAAATAAAACAAAAGACTAATCAGGTTTTTACAACTAGAACCTAATTCCACCGCAGCCTCCCACTTCATCTGGCCTTTCACCTGCCCTTCAATCTTTCTTTCTCAAAAGCAAACTAAAATATAGTTGATGCCAGAAATAAAGCAAAAAATCAAGAAAAAAAAAAAAAAACCTTCCTACAAAAAGCCCATAAAATGAATTTTAAAGAAGAAAAACAAATATATTTCAGCTCTCTCTCCATTTCTCTTCCTCTAACATAGCTTCCTCTCCCATTTTCTCATCTAACGTTAAAGGGTCTGCACAGGAGGGCAGATACACACACGTGGCAACAGGAGACCCAGAAGGTGGAAACTGTTTCCTTTTTTTTTTTCCTTCTTAATATGAAGAGCTTTTTAGAATTGGCAGATGTTAGTACTTTGGTAATGGTGTCTTAGTTGTATTCCTGCAGTGTGTAGAGGTTTTGAGGGTGGCTTGTTAATTTGTGCAGTGTCTGGGAGGCTGTGTTTGGGTAAAAGACACACTGTGACTAGCAAGTGGCTTCTTCCGGAGGCCTGAGCCAGGGTCAGACTGGTAGCTGGGAGGTAAAAGACATTATGCCCACTTACCAATTCTTGCTGAAACTCCTATTTTAATAATTTAATATTTACATCAAAATAGTTCCCCCCAAATCAACAAAATCCCTCAAATGTCCTAACTTTTAGTGCCAGCGCTTTTCAAAGGAAGAGCAACTATTTACAGGCTTCTTATGCTGTCAGAATTTATAAGCTATTATTTAAATTGCAACTTACAATAATTCCTCAAAGTTAAAAGGAAAGTTTCCTAAATATGAGAGTTTAGAAAGAGCTGGTAGATGATTTTCAAGATTCATGTTTCTCCCTTCTTTTAGAGGACAAAAGAAAGCAAAGCATAAAAAGAGAAATGGTTTTTAATACTGAGTAGAAAAATGCAATATATACGTGCAAAATATATGCTCCATTTGAATTCGTATTTACATGTTTTGTAAGCTCAAATAATATATGTTTTTCATTATTTTAGTAAAATTAAAGAATGGGCATTCAGCTATCTTTAAATTTTCATATTGCTTTTGCTAGTTTCGGCATGCCAGATCACTTTGGTATAATAAATTTCTACACGAGTATTGCACAGATACTAAGACACTGTAATATTTTTCTTTTAAATGTGAATTGAAGAAAAAATATTAATAGATAGGCACATTTTTATGTTAGCCATTATTAGAATTTGCTAATGAGAAATCTGATATGCTCTTTCCTATTGCTTTAATATGTTATATATTATAAAATGTTTTCCCACATTATAGGCGTTAATTGCATCATGTTAAAAAAAAATCCTGTGCAATTTCTTGTGATTTATGGCCTGCCATTGGTGACTAGGTGTGGGAGAACTTTGGCTTTTGTGGACTTGTTCAAGGAAAGGATGTGTGAAAAGTTGAGGAAGCCCAATTAGAGAAAGGCACTGAGAAAATTTTTAAAAAATCTATCCTGCTGAGAGGCAGGCATTTTTTCTGGATGACAAATGTCTGGAGTTCTCAGTTTTACAAAAAAAGAGTGCTCACCCCTGGCCTCTTATCCTTTTGTCATGTAGGTAACCTAAGCTGTGGAAAAAGAGACCATCTGGAAAGAATGCTGCGGTTTCACAGAGCCAACATTATTCTCTACCTCCCCTTCCTCTTCCTCTTTCTTTATGGATGGCAAACAGTGTTCAGATGACAGATTTTGGAAAATTGTCTTAGGAGATACATTCTCAAGCAGCTCCAGTGTGTTGGTATTTGGGATGTTTCTGTGCATTTTGTCATACGGCTCAGAAGGGTGATAGGCTTTTTGTGAACTCCTGGGCTTCAAGAAGGCTATTATCTTCCACTCAGTTTTAATTGAGGAGTTTATGGGATCTTGCTACCTTGTGAGGTAAGTTAGACATAAATGCCTTGTGATTTAGACGTGAAAGATTTTTCATTGTGTATCGACATAAATCTTATTAATCCCTACGTTTCTAAGATGTCATGGTCAACTGAAGAAATTCTTCACCAGTTTTCCTTGTAAATACAAAATTAAGTGCAGTCTTCATTTTTAAATGATAGCTGGTAGAAGCTCTATCATGATATCGACTTATCTGCATTATCACCTTAAAGAGCCCTTTTAATTGTTTTAGGCCAACAAATAAGGTTTAGTAAAGAGAAATATACAAATTGTGCAGTTTATATTCTAAAAGAGATGCAATATTTTAGCCAGTTAGTAGGAGAGAAAAACCAACTTGAGAAATAAATCTGTAAGTGAATGCTACTGGTTTTAAAAGGCATCTTCTTGACAAAAATCAAATGAACATTATCTGTAAAAATCTAATCTGAAGGCAAAACAGATTTGTTAGTGTGATTATTAAAATAATTGCCACCTTCTGGTGTAAAGTGATGTCAACAGTGAACAATCAAGTAATGCCCTTTGCTTTGGTACAGTCAAGCACTCAAAGCTACCGTGAAATAGGATTGGACGGGACCTTTCATTTCATATGAGAATTAATTCTCTAAATGCAGTGGAGAGGAGGCAGCTTATTTTTTCCCCCCAGCAAGCAGTTAGAAACCAGTCTGTGGGAGGTCATATTTTTTCTTACTCATTTCTTAGTGTGTGCATGTATGTTACCAAGTATCATGGCAAATAGTTTATTTTTTTCAATATATTTCCATCAGAAATGAAAAAAAATGGCAGGATTTTTCCAAAGGTTCTATGGCTTTAAAAAAGTTACACTTTGACATCTAAATTGTTTTCTAAGGTTTGAATTAAAGGTCACATTTTTTCAACTGCAGCAAAAGCTTCACAGCTGCTTTGGGGTTCTCTGTAAGAGAGCACAGCTCCGTTCTGGATTTACTACAAATCTCCGCAGGAAGAGTCCATACAAGTATAATTTGCGGCAAACCTAGTTATGGAGACTTACTCTTCTCAAAAAAGGTTAAGTTAGTAGCCATAAAGAGACGAGTGCCAGGTATATGCAGTTACTGAACACCCTGGCTTATGTATTAAAAAGCATTTTGAAGGAAACAATTCTACAGCTTAAGACCTCAGGTTTAAGAACTTGCTGACCTTAAGTGCATTCAAAATAAAGAAATAAATATTAAGTATGCGATTTTACATGTAAATTTCTGTCTTTCACATCTCATAACATTATCTTTTGTGTCAAATCTGTTAACAATGCCTTTAATGTCTAAAATGTGGCACATTTACTACTTCTTGAACTTCTACAGTTGAAAAAGCAAATACAAGACTGAAAAAAAAATTATGTGATCAATAACACATTTCTTTTCCATCAGATTATTTTTTCCATGTACAAAGTTCCTGTTTGATTTTTCAATTATTCAAAATGTCAGAATGATAGATATAAGAGTAACCAACTAACCAGGGAAATCTCTGCCTAATAATGTTCAATATAAAAATTCAGAATGATGCTTTATGATGGATTAAACTTTCCCCTGTTCTGCCTCATTAGGGTTCTCCCAATTTGACCCAATTCAAAGCTATTACTTAATATATATCTAACAGTAAAATTGCATAAATGTTCACTATGGACAATAGAAGCTAAATGAGCAGTTTCAGATAATTTAATTAAGTTGTAGGTCTTCTAATATAATTCCTTAAGTATGTGAACTTTTAACTTGTGTTAACTCAATTTCCTTATGCTTTCATTTAGCATTTGTTGGGGACATTACAGTGATTAGCCAAAGTCCTTCCAGCTACTAATGTTCTCCATAAATTTTGATTTAAATTGACTGTCACTTTCTCACTATAATAAAGTAGATATTTGACATCTCAAAAAAGGGAACTAGTCTAGCATATTACGTTGTCAAGGGGCAGCACGTTTTTCTCTGTCGCACAGAATCCACATAAAATACCCCTTAATAAAGGCAGTTCAGAGTAGGCAGAATGAAGTGGATTGCATACTACATATTCATAGACGCATCTACTCGTTAGCATTTCTTGACAAACTAGGCTCCTAGATGCCTTTGGTATTGAAAACACACATGGCATCATGTTCCCGTCTAATTGTTTTGTATTTGGTAGTTATCAACGTCAGCATTTAGCAGCTCTGTATTACAATAGGAAGGTAGCAGCTGTTCTGCTTCAGCTGAGGTCAAAAGCAAGACTTGGCTAAGTGGGCTAAGCTCAGACACATCTCCTATGCTTTCTCAGTTCAGATAACTAAAAGGACAATCATATAATTAGGCTTTGAAATTTGTCAATTAATATATGTGTTTTTCAGTATTGTATGTGTGTTGATAATTGTGAACGTTGGGTGGTGAGTACATGGATGTTCATTATTGCTATGGTCTGAATGTTTGAGTCCCTGACAATTCATATGTTGGAATTCTGACTCCCAAGATGATGGTATGAGGAGGTGGGGCCTTTGGCGGGGGTGATTAGGTCATGAGGATGGAGTCATGAATGGAACTGGTACCCTTATAAAAGAGATCCTATAGAGCTGCCTTGCCCTTTCTGATATGTGAGGACATGAAGAGAAGGTGCCACCTACGAACAAGAAAGCAGGCCCTCACCAGAAGCTGAATCTGCTGGCATCTTGATCTGGGACTTCTCAACTTCCATAACTATAAGAGATGAATTTCTGCTGTTTATAAGTTACCCAGTTTGTAGTATTTTGTTGTAGCTGCCTGAATGAACTAAGACAATTACAATCTTCTCTCTACTTTTATACACATTTAAACGACCCTAAACAAGTAAAATTATGTCCCCACAAATATATATCTACCCCAAACTCTCTTTAGTTCCAATAAAAGGGCTCAGTCAATAGGGTTTTGGTATCACCAATTACCATCCTTGAAGTTGTCTAGTCGCTCCATATATGAAAGCCTCAGTTATTGCCCAGAGTAACCTAAAAGACACTGCAATGATAGCATTGTTTTTCTAGGTTCATTGCTAGAGTTTCTGCGTTGGATGTATTAAGAATCTATGGGGAGCCAAGTCACTGAGAAGTATCAGGTATGCTGTGGGATAACTGCCTGCAAGGGGCAGGAAGTGTCAGCCCCTCTGGCTAATGGTTTTCTCTAACAGTTTCCCATAAAACCACTGCTTCTGCAATGTATTTGGCATTGGCCTTCACTAGAGGTGGCCTTCTTTACAGTTAAAGCACTTGGTGCCCACAAAATATCACACTCCACTCTAGAAGCTTCTTGGCACCTATTCAAGAAAAGTATTACTTAAGTAATCATAAGATTAACTAATATTTATTGGGAGCTTACTCTATGTTAAGCAATTGGTAAGCATTTTTTTTCATGTGTTCTTACAACCTTAGAATTAGCAAACAGTATGATTCTTGTTTTACAAATGGGACAGCTGAGGCACAGTGAAGTCTCCTAGGTTACCAAAACTGGCAAAGCAACGCAGCCCAACTTAGTTTTCTTTTTTTGTTTTTTTTTTTTTTTGAAATAGGGTGTTGCTCTGTCACTCAGGCTGGAGTGCAGTGGTGTCATCACGGCTCACTGCAGCCTTGACACCCTGGGCTAAAGCAATCCTCCTGCTTCAGCCTCCTGAGTAGCTGAGACCACAGGCACATTCTACTATGTCCAGCTGATTTTTTTACTTTTTATAAAGACAGGGTCTCCCTATGCTCCCTAGACTTGTCTTGAACTCCTGGGTTCAAGTGATCCTCCTGCCTCCACCTCCCACAGTGCTAGGATTACAGGTGTGAGCCACCATGTCTGGCCTGCCCAACTTTGAATTGAATGTTCTGTCATTACATGAGAGCGTTCAGGTTATATCCCTGTTTCATTGGTTGGATGATAATATAATGAGGCTTCTATGCATGTTATGAATGTTGGAGAGTACATTTAAAAGTACATATATTTTTATAACACAGTAGTATCTGTTATTGAAAAATTTAGACAATATTGATAATCTAAACATAGAAAATAAAAAATTATTACTAGTTTCACAACCTAGAGATCACGACTTTTAAGATTTCACTTTACATTCAAGTCCTTTCTATACCTGTTTTAAAAATAGAAATTTTATTCTATTTATTTTTTATAAGATAGGGTCTCACTCTGTTGCCCAGGCTGGAGTGCAGTTGTACCATCTCGGCTCACTGCAACCTCTGCCTCCCAGGTTCAAGCAATTCTCCTCTCCTGCCGCGGCCTCCCAATAAAAATAGAAATTTAATTATACTGAGAACATTCTTTTATAATCTAATATCTGATTTAATAATTTATCATGAACATTTTCCAATGTCTTGATATATAGTTCTGTAACATATTTTTAATGGCTGTGTAATGGAATATTTTTATTTAGAAAAAAGTCAAGGTACAACATTTTACAGCTCCAAGTCCCAACCTGAATTTCACATCTGGCCTCAGGTGGAACTATTGCCACATCCTTATTTGCAAAGAGTGTTGATACGTGGGTTAAGCAGAGGTGATTGGTGATCAGCGTATTGCAGGAACAGATGCACATGCAGAACTCACTATTCAAGCTCCTTTTCCTTCTTCAGTGTCTCTGCATGGTTAAGATGAGTGGGTTATTTCACATATAATACTTCCGTAAATGGGTACTCCTAGACAAAGGGGTTACAGTAATTGGCTAACAGTGCAGCTGCATCACTGTGGGAGGAAGGGGCAAAGGATTCTTGACGTGTAGTAGAGAGCCTTGGTCACTTAGGATTTCTTTCGCTTTCCGCGCTGACTCAGCCTGAGGGTAAAGGGTGAAGTGACATCGTTACTGAGGCCTCCCTGGTCAAATGCAATCAGATTGACTGAAAGCTCTCAGAATGAGATGAAACTCCCCGACCTGGGCAGCACGTGCTGGCCAGAGAAGACCGATGAGGAGTCAACTCTTCACTACTGCTGGACAACAATTTCAACATCTCATTTAAAACCGCAGTGAATTAAGTTGGTTTCTGAATTATGTATTACACTCAGCTTCCAGATATAGTCCGGGTTGCGTATTTCAGCTGAACGTCTCTCTGAAACATCAATGACCACAAATCGCAGCTCTTGCTCTCTTGTTTGCTGGTCTGGTTGTCACTTCCTATAATTCTTTACTCTTGACTCTGGTATTCTAACACCTAATACTGAATTTTCAATATCAAGCTACCCTCTACCTCCTTGCTCTTCGTCCTTTGTCTTGCACCATGAAAACCTCCGTTTCCCTAAAAGTACATGAAGTCCGCCAGCAATTTTGACAAAAGCACAAATTATTGCCCAGTGGGGGGTACTTTGCTCTACCAACCCCTTTCCAGTGTCAAAGCCTTAGTTACACTCTTACTTATCGTCACTAATGGACATTGTAGTGTTTGCCACAATCTTCGGATTCATCAAGATCAGCTCTCAAAATACTCCCTGGCTTAGTTGTTGGTGCCAAGAGTAGGTCTTGGCACCTCAATCTCTTTTATAAACTCTATCCACCATGACCTTCCCATTCTACTTCACCGCATCCTTTCTTCCATTCATTTCCACAACTAATAATTAATATCACCCAAGTCCAGTTAAAATTGCTTCTGAAATACCTCTAAAATTTATTTCTCTCCATTTTCTCTGCTCCTCATCCCCTACCTCAGGCCACACTACCCTATTACTTGGACGTCTGCAGTAGCATACCAGCTGGCCTCTTCACATCGACATACTTCCTCTCCAGATCAGTTTTCCACAGCAATGAGAAGGGTTGTTTTAAAAAAAATGTCAAGGCGGTCATGTTAAAATATTTTTATGGCTTATAAGTAGGATACCCATATGTCCAGTTTTGTTTTGTTTGTTTTTGAGACAGGGTCTTGCTCTGCCACACAGGCTACAGTGCAGTGGCACAGTCACTGATTACTGCAGCCTCAAACTCCTGGGCTCAAGTGATCCTCCCATCATAGCCTCCCAAGTAGCTGGGACTACAAGCATGGGCTGATTTATTTATTTGTGTGTTTATTTTTGTTGTTAATTGAGATGAGGTCTCGCTACGTTGCCCAGGCTCATATATCCAGTTTGTTGGAACTACACCAGTTTTTGCTTGCTGCAATGATTCTTAATGCCTCATTTACTGTCAGGAGTGTTCTGCTTTAGAGAATAAATTATATGGTTACATTACCTATGAGGCCACACCTCTACGAGCCACCATCCGCAGTGGGATGGGCCACTGCAAGGGCCGTGCCATGCCCCCTCCCACCCAGGATCCTTGTACATGTGGTTCCTTCTTTTGGGAATGTTATTCAGCCCCTTTTTCCTTTCAATCTAATTTTTACTTAGTCTTCAGCTCCCATTAGAAAACAAGCTCCATGAAGGCAGGAACTTCCGTCTGCTTAGATAGCGGCTGTATTCCAAGTGCTTAGAATAATGCCTGGCAAATAATGTGTAGTGAATTGGTTGAATAAATGGATCCTGAATCAAGCATTACTTCCTCAGGGAAGCCTTTCCTTGCCCCTCTTTCCTCTACCTGCCCCAGTATATGTTTGCCTTCCTTGTGTACTTCCTTATGTACTTTCTTTCAGAGATTTTATCTCAATTTGTGATCATACAATCATTAGTTCACTAGGCTTTGACTTCAATTGGAGCAGCAGCCATTTCCCTGTTGCTTATTTTGTGCCATGTATTGTCCTACAGATACGTGTTAAATGAATAAATGGATGAATACTATGACAAAAGCACAATATAAGGTGTTGTAGCGATCCCAAGAAAAATTGGATATGGTTTATTTTCTAGAAGCTTGTAATTTATTTGAAGGAGAGAAAAACCAAAAATATACAAGTCGGTGGCAGTACAAGATAATCAACTGACCCATTGGATTTTAGGGCAAAAGACCCTGGAAATGATACCGATCAGCCCTAATTCATCATAGCAGCATTAAGTGAATATCACACAATGATGGTAGATCTGGACACTAAGTACTTGTGGATGTTCAGAAGTTGAAACACGACTGTGTCCATGAGTGTCAAGGAAAGGTTATGGAAGAAGTAAACCTCAATTGAGTTTTGAGGGATTTATTCTCTACTGAATATTTATAATCGATTATATGATAATAGCAAGAAGACTCTGTCCTTGTCCAAGCAGGGCAAGAGTCTGGTAAACTATATACTTTCCAGGCCAAATCTGGCCACTTGTTTTTATAAGAGCTTTATGGGAACATGGCCATACCTACTGGTTTACATCTTGCCTATGGCTGCTTTTGAGCAGATTAGTTGCAACAGAGATCATAGGGCCCACAAAGCCAAAAAATATTCATTATTTGGCCCTCTGCCAAAAAGGTTTGCCAACCCCTGAGTTAAACTCTCTGGGTTGGATGGAGGAGACAGCCATACAACTCCAAAAATTACGAGATATGTGTTTGGAAGAGACATGTCAGAAGCTTCATGGAACAGTCGTAGAAGAGAACATGCAGGACAAGGAGCCCAGTAGAAAGGAAATGTGAGTGATGTCCTGAAGGGGCAGGTGGTCAGTGGAATTTGGTAATAAAGGAGAAAGAGGCTGGGCGCGGTGGCTCAAGCCTGTAATCCAGCACTTTGGGAGGCCAAGGGGGGTGGATCATGAGGTCAAGAGATCAAGACCATCCTGGCCAACATGGTGAAACCCTGTCTCTACTAAAAATACAAAAAATAGCCAGGCATGGTGGGGGGCACCTGTAGTCCCAGCTACTTGGGAGTCTGAGGCAGGAGAATCGCTTGAACCAGGAAGCGAAGGTTGCAGTGAGCTGAGATCATGCCACTGCACTCCAGCCTGGCGACAAAGTGAGACTACATCTCAGAAAAAAAAAAAAAAAAAAAAAAAGAAGAAAGAAAGGAGAAAGAAGCTGGGCATGGTGGCTCATGCCTATAATCCTAGCTAGCACTTTCATTGAGTGAGGCCAGGAGTTCAAGACCGGCCTGGGCAACAAAGTGAGACTTTATCTCTATTAAAAAAAATAAAAAAATTAGCCAGGTATTGTGTCACATATCTGTAGTCTCAGCTACTTAGGAAGCTGAGGTAGGAGGATTGCTTGAGCCCAGGAGTTCACAGCTACAGTGAGCTATGATCACACCACTGTGCTCCAGCCTGGGCGACAGAATAAGACACTACCTCTTAAAAAGAAAAAGTTAGAAGATGCACACAGAACTAAGGGGAGACTGCAGGAATGTGCAGATTTTATTTGAGGGGAAAATGCATAGACTTTCCTGTTTGGGCCGCAGGTTCCTGTTGGGAAGCACAGGATGAAACTTTGTGGAGTGAGACTGCGGGGACTATGCAGAGCCTTGAGCATAGGGCCGAAACATTTGAAATTCACCAACTAGGCCATGGGGAGATGTTGATGGCTTGTGTCCAGCGCAATGACAGGAGAAAAGGAATGCATTTTTCAACTCTGAGTCTGATGAACTGGATTGGGAGAAAATCTGGGGAACCACAGGGGCCACCTCTTGAAGAGGACAGAGGAAGTTGGAGAGTTGAGAGCAAATTAGCCTGCAGACAGGTCTTGCTTTGTCCACATG